TGCTAATGGGTATGGGGTTTTCTGGGAGATGGTGAAATTGTTCCAGTAAGTAAATAAGAAGAGATGGCTGAGTATCTGACACAATCACTGTGCATTGCCCATGCTGAGTGAATAAACTGTAAACTATGGACATTTAAGCCATGGATAGAGTGGGGCACAATGAGCTACACTTCAGCCAGGATCCAGCCAAGGTTATAGAACTCCAATCTGCCCCCTCTTCACTGCCATGAGTGAGTTTTAACTTTAAATTGAATATTTGCCCAGAAGGGACTTCTAATTCAGAGCTTATTTTCTATATTTTAAGTGACAACGTTACTCCTCACCTGTCCATAACTGTGCTGCCAGGGAACTGGAATAGGTGTTCCAGAACATGAGGATAGCAGTTATAGAAAAATAACTATATGTCTATAATTAAATATAGAGGTGGAGCACAGTTGTGGTATATACATTTTTACGCCCCATTATATGCCTAGAGAAGAGATGAAGTCTTTAAGGAAAAGAGAAAAGAGAAAAAGAGTTAAGCAAAGAGTAGCCAAACTACAGAAGACACCTTCGTTTTACTTGCACATGACCCCTCTCACTGCCCAAATTAATACTCTTTTTGATCATCTCCTCCCGAAAAAGCTTCCCTTTCCAAGCTACAACTAATGAGTTTTGTTAATTCTTCTACATTTGGTGTAGATATTAGCATATCTAAATCTCATTAAGGAGTTTGTATAACTTTGTCTCAAGGAAATAGCAAGCAAAACAACATTCAATTAGCCTGCACTCCAGTTGACCGTAGAAGATATAAATGAAACAAGTAGAAAACAGTCCAGGGGCGCCTGGGTGGCTCAGTCATTAAGCGTCTGCCTTCGGCTCAGGTCATGATCCCAGGGTCCTGGGATCGAGCCCCGCATCGGGCTCCCTGCTCGGCCAGGAGCCTGCTTCTCCCTCTCCCACTCCCCCTGCTTGTGTTCCCTCTCTAGCTGTCTCTCTCTCTCTGTGTGTCAAATAAATAAATACAATCTTTAATTAAAAAAAAAAAAGAAAACAGTCCAAAGTAGATCCTGGTCCTTTGGCTCATTAAGGTGTTGTTCATGAGATAAAGAAAGGACCCACGAGGGAAGATCTGTTTTGTCATGAAGAAAACAAAATGTGGGTCATCAATCTGAATTGAAAAGTAGGTAAAGAATCCCGGTATTTATTTGCATATTCATTCCACTATAAAAGGAAACTAATCACCACCTCCACTACTACAACCATGTGTTGTGTGTGTACAAGGTTAGATCAAAGTGGTAGCTAATAATATTACATTTTGCAGTTGTTCAAGGATGACAGTTGAGAAAGTTTGATGACAGAGGATAAAAATAACACTTGTTTGGTCATAAATGGAAGTTTTTTTTTTTCATTGAACTATGTGCACATTCTTCGTCCCACCCACAGCCCCAGAAACCTAAGAAAATAATTTTGCCACATTAATAAGTTTTCGCTACCTGATCAAATTATAATAATTCTCTTTTTTCCTGAAATTAAAAAAAAAATAACTATATTTGTAAACCTGTGGCCACATTGAGGTAATGATAAAATAATCAGTAACTATTGGGTTAAATTCAATTTCGAGTTTAACCACAGAGCGAATAATGTGCATAACCTTTGTTCAGGCAGTTTTTCACAGTTGTATAACAAAACATTTGACAAGAGTTAGTTAATAGCCATTCAGAGGCAGATGAAGAAGCAGAAATGCTTATAGTTTGAATGTGCTTTGTTGACAAAGAGAGGGATGGCCTATTTATTTTTTATTTTTTTATTTAAAAGGAACATGGAATCTTTACCTCCCAGCTTGACAGTTGGTTACAAAAAGCAGAAGACACCTGAACGTTTCCTCTGGAGGGTATTATCACTTCACTCCAGCGTCAGCGGCGGTAGAAACACATGTGCTCTATCACACTTTGACCTTTACACTTAAAGTCAAGAGAATCCTGAGCAAGGTCAGTTTTCCCATCTAGTGTACACTTTGCTGAGATGTAAAACAAACAAACAAACAAGAAAGCAACTGAAAACCCATTTTCACAGAATTTGATCTGTAGATTTCACTTATGTTTGAATGAAATAAGTTTATTTCTACACCGGTGACTTTGCAAGAAAACGAGGCCAGGAGAGGCATTTCCTCAAAGGCTAAAAGGAGGCATTACCACCACTCCACTACTTGCCAGGGGATTTGCAAAGCTTGTTGAGGCTCAAGGTTAGTATGGGAGATGAGCCAGGCTCAGAAGTTAACACAGAGAAAAAGGTTAGTGGTTTCTGTTTTTTTTTTTTTTTTTTCCACTTTGAGCCAGCCAATACAACAAAGTGCTTGAGATCGTAACTCCTAGTGGTCAGGTAATGGTGTGTTTTCTGCAACAATCATGTTTGGGTTTGTCTATTTTCTTTATGCTTGTGAGGCTTGAAATTGGCATTTAAAATCCTTGGGGGAAAAGCTATTTTTGTAATTCAGCTGGGATGTCCTTGTCTCAGGGTTTCCCATTGCATCAGTCCCTTAGCCTGGTACGATAGCCATGATAGTGCTGTGTCTTTTAGATGAGGTGCAGAAATAAGGACATGATTATGGTGCTTATTAAAGATTCCTTGCTATTTTCACGAGAGTAGGGGCGTTAGACTCTTGTCTACTGGCCAAATTCTAAATTGGGAGATTACGTTCTGCTTTCCTAAATTTCCCGAGTAGAAGCAGCCATCCATGGTATCCTACTTTGCTTCCTTTGCTCAACTGTTGTGCGATATCACTGAATGGCACTGGTTTTCTACTCCAGAAGTGTTCACTTCTTAGTGGAGTGGTGAGTAAATCAGTACCTATTGTCTGCTATTGTATTTGACCCAGTTGCAAACAAATTAAAAGGTAAGCTCTGATAGTTAAGGATAAAGTACAAACAAAACAAAACACCCTAACAGTGTACCAGTTGTCATGTAACATTTAAAAAAAAAAATTAATGCTTTTTTTTTTAACTCCACTAGTAGTGGACAATGGATTGTTATTTGCCTCAAACAGGAGGATAGTTCTAACAGAGATGATGAGGTTTGAGAAGATGAGATCATGTACCACAAACCAGTTAACCCCTCTCTTTTGTCGTTAGGCTGCATGGAGCCATTCTCGACAGCTGATCTACTTCGTAAAATCTCATTTTAAGGAGGTTTTTCATCTTTCCTTCGTAACATTTCGTGTTTCTCAATCTTTCCACGACAATAAAGTTCTTATTTTTGTTTAACCTCCATCCCACCCACTGTAGTTTTAATGTCCCCATCTTCTATCCATCGCTAACCTTGCTATCACATAGTGGTATTGAGGGGCAGTATGGCACAATGGTGTGGTTTTTGAAATCAGCCATTTAAATCCTTGCTCGATAACTTTCTAGGTGTGTGATGTTGAGCAAGTAACTTCTGAGGTTCAATTTCCTCATCTGTAAATGAGCAACCTCAAAGGGTTACTCTGAAGATCAAATGAGGTAATGTATTATTTTGAAGGGTGGTGGGGTAAGGCAAGGCATAGTAGTCAGCACCTGAAAAGTGCTTGATAAATAATAGTTATTTATTGGATTGTGTACACGGATCTGACTTAATTCATGAACTCTTTGAGAGTGGGAAGCATACCTCCTGGATTTCGACATAAGTACAGTGTCGTGCACATAGGATGGTGCAGAGGCTCAATATTTATTGCATGAATAAACTTTTTTTCCTCCTGAGTGGAATGAACAGCCCTCAGCTATTTGCAAGATCCCACACATTTAGCTCAAAGGTGACAAAATCAATCAATCCTCTGATGTCTCCAAATCTACAGACACTTGCCTTTGTCTAGATGTTATGGTATGGTGTAGACACAACGCAAATAACTCACACTTTCTGTTTCCATCAGGCTAATTTCTATGAATGTTAGCACTTGATTTGTCTTAGGTGCCCAGAATGGGGCTGACTCAATCACACACCTCCTCATTCATTCAAGCATCCTTTGATTGAGAAATTTTTTAAATGAATACTAAGAACTATCTAATTATATACCAGAACAAAACCTTTCAACTTGTGACTAAGTGCACTACCTGCCCTATTTACCTGTAAGATCTGTGCTGAATACAGATATTTTTCTAATTGCTTTGCTCCCAAGCCAAAACAAACAAACAAACAAACAAACAAACAGAACAATAACCTACCGCAGCAAGTTCCAGAGCACAAACAACATCTTTGAACTGGGGAGGTGTTGGTTAGGAATTTCTTTTTTTGCTTTTAAAAACGTTTGCACGGGGCTGGGAGAGAGGGAAAGTTGGAACAAGGGAGGGGTATACAGATTCAACCAAGCTTGAACATTTGTCAATAAGGAAAGAGTATTCCTCTTTACCATACATAATCTTGGAAAACCCCGGGTGCGTGCTTAGGTGGGTACTAAAGCGACCGCAGTGTGGCCATTTCCCCGACTGCTTTGTATATACTTTATAGGGGCGGTCTCAGGTATGGAGCTCCAAGCACCTGCTTGCTCAGCTCCGGCAGTTAGGAAACCAGCGTATTTGAGGCCGGTGGCTCAGGTTTCACGTAACTCGGCTCAAGTGTCACTAACACTATGTGCAGTGCCGGTCATCGAGCTGTGCTTTGGGACTCGGATACTTAACTTCGGACTTTCTTCTTTCTCTCCCCCCCCAACTAGTTTTCCTTTCCCTTCTTCCTCCCTGGGCGTGCCCACCTCCTTCCTTTGCTCCTACTCTCCACTTTCGCGTTCTCGTTTCCTTCTCCTTCCTTTCTAGTGGGCTTCCCGTCTTTCCTCCATCCTCGGAGGGCCACAGGGCTCGAGGCTGCGGCTCGGCGGAGGCGCGAGTCCCGCGGGACAGGCGCGAGGGGCCGAGCGGCGAAAGCGCGGGG